GCAGATTAGAGAGACCAGAGCTAGGCTGTCCTACCTACTCTCAGAGAGACAGCAGCCCAAGCACACAAAATAAATAGGTATTACCTAGCTCACTATTTGGGGAAAGAGGCAGAAGAGAAAACATCAGCTGCTTTGAAGAAATTTCAATGGCAATAAAACGTAAGAGGACAGGATTGATTTAATGCTTTCAGTCTGACTCCCAGATGAGGAATCAATTGTTCTGCATCATTTAATCTCCTTAAGCAGGTCATGACACAAGCTAGAAGCATTGTATCTAATATGAAGAACAGCTCTTAATGGTAGTTAGCATCAGCCTCAGATTTTTTAGAGGAAAACATAAGCGGGATCTGGGTAGCTCTGAAGAGTTGGCTCCACTAGATTTCCACAGTGAGATCCTAATATTTTAAAAGCGAGTTTGTTCATTGTTTACCTAATGGAGATGCAGAGCAATTATATGCAAAAAAAAAAAAAAAAAAAAAAATCCCTGTGAACAAACTCCAGCCCTCCATCAAGAACATGGTCTTCAGAAAACTTGCGCAACATTACTTACCTGACACGTTTCAAACTGTCCTCTATCTTTATGGCAAATTCCTCAGCTAAACCAAGGTCCTCGTTTTTTTACATCATTCAAGAGAACAGAAATACCATACAGCTCCTAACCAGGTACAACCCCGAGCTAAACCAGCCTGCTTTTGGAACAGAACCTTCTAGAAGGAAGAAATGTGACACAGGAGGAGGCTCCATCTGAATCCCCTCCAGGCTGGGAGAGCTGATAACAAAGGTCCTTGTCTCTGTATATACAGATACATAGCTTCCTACTAAGCTTTTAAATTACATTTCTTGTGTGAAACTGTTGACATAATCAAGCACAAGTGTGAAAACAGAAGCAGGATAGCGAAAGAAAGTTCCTTATTTTGTCAGAGAGTTGTTTTTCCTATGTACTAGGAGAAAACTAGGGCACAGAACGTAAGCATTACGATTAACTTTTAAGAGAGGCTAAAATTATCCAGGATTATACAAATATAAGCAGTTTTTGTTTATTTCCTGTTACCAAAAACAATTCACTGTTGAAGACAAATGAAGGGTTTTCAGTGGTGGGTTTTGGGGTTTTTTGTGTTGGTTTGGGTTTTTTTTGCAAAAGCTCTATGATGAGGCCAATGTATTTTTAAGAAGCAAACTCAACATACCTATTCTGAATATTCTTTAATGGACCTTGGAAGTGTGAATTTAAACTTTACTGTAAGAGTAAAAATCTATATAGAACCTGGCTGAAGCAGCGATTTCTTATCAAAGTCAGATCAGGAACCAGCCTTATTATTTGCAGCAACTACATCAGTGGCTGGCTGCCACCATTCTTTCTTCCAAGTAAGCAGATGCCAAAGGATCTAGGAAGCAAAATCTTTTGCATTTCTCATATTGCTCTGCATACTTCCTCTCTCTCTCACAACATTTCCCCTAGGCTTTGCTCCTTTTCCTGGAATGCCTCAAAGCAATGAGCTCTCCCCATCCTGCTGATACTCGCCTGCCATCTGAAACTGGGATTTCTGGATCAAGAGAGAGACCACCTCAGATCTAACAGCAGAAATGATGGTGTGTAGGGAGCACGTACAACAAAGACAATTGTAATTTAAAGGCTGACCCACCTATTTTTACACTGAAGTACTCAGGAAGCATGCTATGGATAATTTTTGTTCTCAATATCATGAAGAAACAACCATGGTAGCAGTTTGTTCAGTATGTACTTAACGCTGCAATTTTATGACTGTCACATACAGTACTTATCAAAATACCGCTATACTGGGGATGTTGCTGGCAGTACAAGGACATATGGTAGGGAAAAGCAAAAGATTTAAGACCCAATAAAGTGATTCCTTCATTTTCAACACTGTTTGCCTTGTCAGTTGATCTGAAAGAAAAAAAGCTTTAAAAAACATTTCAGACCATAAGCACCATTCCTGAAGCTTTGCCAAAAGCTTTCTTGTGTCATTGCATTGTGTATAAAGAATTTTTAAGTAAAACAAGCTCTGAAGGCTGCTTCTGTACCTACAGAAGGCAGCAACTCCCACTGCAATTGCTAGGTAGTAGCTGTGAATGACAGGCTACAGTTCTAAAAAACCATCAGTACATATTTTCCCACATAACCACAAACCAACAAGAAATGTATGAAGAAGGCTATAAGCTACAGGAGGAAAGTGCTCTGTTTTGAGCCCTCTTCACTTTTTCAAGTGCTGTGCTTTACAGACACACAGTGAGGGTTTATTTCTTCAGGGGAAATACACCTTTCACTTCACAGCATGCAAGCCAAAATGGTGCTGAGTGCCACGTAAGTTCTAATATACCTCCTCCCCTCGCCGGACAGGCAGCTGCCTGCCTCTGCTGTCCTGCACGCAGCTAGCTGGCTCCTGCTAGCACTGCAGCAGTATGCCCCGCAACTGCTATTTCTACCTAAGAAACCCCTTCATCTTCACAGGACTGTAACAATAGCAAACAGCAATAAAATTGAAGTGGCTTCTCAAATCTGCTGCTGATTCTGCACTTTTGAATTTTTTTTTCAGTTCAGTTTCAGAAATTTAAACACAGCTACCAAGAAAAGCACAAAGAACAAAAACCATCCACTCATCTGGCATAAACCTACACACAACAATAAATAAAGCATCTTGGTTCTGCAGCTTTCATACTCTGCTGGCATTAACAAATTAACTGCACGTTCACTGAAAGTTATTATTATGACATGCTTTAAAAATCCAAGGAGAAGATAATGCATCTGTACATTTCACAGCATTCACCAAACTCCTATTTAATACAAAGGAAACAACAGTTGGCCCTTACTGAAGGCACATACTGTCACCCCAGTATTTAAGCTTAACTTTTTATATATTTGGTCAGTAATGTGGAACAAGTTTTATTTTATGCTTTTATGCATTCTCCAACCAGATGTTCAGAGAACAAGCCAAACATGGCAATCAATCATCTAAAACCCTGATAGACCCGACACAAGGCTCAGTTCTGCTCTTTCCAGCTGCACACATGCAGTATTTCCCCCTTTGTTGGCTGGGTACCTGCCAGTTCCCACATCCTAGGCAAGATTGCCTTAAGGGTCAGCCTCATATCCTACTAGCTCTTCTTGGCCTAGGCTCCCCCTGTAGTCAATGGAGAAAGACAGGAAACTATTTGATAAGGCATCTATCCCAAAACAACCTAACAATACACATGTAATGAGTTGCCCCCAGGTGCCTAGCATTCTGGTGATGGTAGGGGAAATCAAGACACCTAGAAAAGAACATGCAAGCAACCTTGGGAGAGCTGAAGTGGGGTAAGCTTAGTTTTCCTAAATTATGCAAAATCATGACCGGCAAGAAGAAATAAATAGGTAGTGATAATTCATTTCTTCCTCACAATATAAGAACCAGGACATGCAACAAGCCTAAAAACAAAGGGAAATATTTTCCTACACTGTTCTACTGTGAAACTCATTGCCATAGAACATTATGGAAGCAAAAGGATAAACGGGTTCAAGAAAACTACATGGCATCATTAAGGAAAAAGACCTAAAGGTTACTGAAAACAAAATGTGGCCACACTTGCATATCATGTAGGCCCATCAGCCACAAAATGCCAGATGCTGGAATAAAAACAAAACACACACTACTGCATACCTTCACTTACACTTTTTTTTTCCTCCCCTCTCAAAACAGTCACTATTGACAGCAATCTGTAATGTCCATAAGCAGCTGAACTCTGTTTAATAAAGTAGTCTTTAATACTTTCAACACTAGGTGGCAGGGAAAACAGCTGGATCTATGGCATTGAGAACCTTGAATGCAAAGTCTGCCTTGACAATAGTTAAGGATTCATACAATGCAGCAATTTCCATTGCAACTGGGTTTGCTTTGTGTCCCTACATAGCCTTCAGCAACATTTTTCAAGTAAAATACTGTGTTCAAAGACACATATGTTAGCAATACCAGGATACAGGCTAATTCCTTGCCTGAGATACTTTGCCCTCTCATGTAAGAAACCACAGACAACTGCAAAATGTTTCTTCATTTTGTGTTTGTTTGAACTGTTTCTGGAGAGGAAGTCAAAATCCTCATGATCTCCACCTCTGGAAAGATACAGCACTGGAACATTTACCTCATGCCTCCATTTTTCTAAAAAGTCACTTTATTATTTAAAATTCACATAACTTATGTGCTACTTGTGAAAATACTGCAAGGGGGCAACGATGAAACAAGTTCTGCACCTCAGGCAGTTGCAAAGCAGGCAAGCCAATGCAAATTTTTCTTCAGGCCATACTGATCAGCAAATGGGAAAAACTTCAGACTTGTAATATTTTGCTCAAGATCTCATTCAGAACTTGGGAGAAGGTATGATCTTTCTTCATGAATGCAAGCTCCCAGTTTCAAAACAAATGTCTATATGTAAAGGACACCACCTCTGCACTGCAGCATAACTTGCTATTTTCAAAATTACAGACATCTCCTAGAATGTTGCTGACATTAAAAGTGAAAGTCTGACATTTAACTCCTGCTTTGTTCACATTATTTAAATAAAAATGCAGACAATTATTGGCACTGTTGGTAACACTCTCCTTTTAGAAGTGCAAAATCAGCACAGGATAGTCATTCTTCTCATTCAGCTTTGTATCAGTTTCTCAGCTGTATAAAGAGATGCTGATGCCTTCTAGTGTATCTTTTAAAAATCTGCAGAAAAAAAAGCAAGGTCAGCACATCTCTTTTTAAGCGGTGACACACAAGAAGAAAGGTCAAGTCACTAAGCCACAGACTAGAAGTTATACATAACGGACTCGCTGAAAGTGATCTTAACACAAACAAATCACAGAAAGGCATGGAACTGGATTCTGATTTTCACAATGTTTGATAACTGGAAAGTTTGTTTCATTTCTAAAAATAAGTTAATACAAAATGTAAAAAACACTGATGTGCAAGTCTTTTCTGCATAAAAGGAGGTACATTTTCATACTTTAAAATAGTTTAAAATATTTGTACATAATGAACAGAAATTCTCTTTTACATAAACAAAGTGTTTCTTTGCCAACATCAGCAGTCAACTCCAAAACATAGAATTAAGACCGTCTAAGTCACTGCCACTGATGTAAAAAAAGTTATGCCACCCTTTTCTACAGTTCATCATGCTTGTAAGTAAATTCCCTTGCAGATATAAACCCATCACTGTCTTCATCTTCTTTATCAAATATATCTTCAACCAAAGCATCATGCTGGGTGTCATTTACCACTGCTCCATGCTTTTCAAATTCTTTCTTCAAGTAAATTTTCACCTATTAGACAAAAGGTGAGAGTTAATGATTTTAGCCTTATGAAGAATTGCTTACTATAGCATAAGAGAGGGCCACTATGTTCAGGATGGTAGCATTAGACAGTAGATACCTACCTTCCTTCCCATGCCACTGCCAGAATAATGCTTGTCTGACTGATTCTGCAGCCCCGTTTAGTGATGAAAGACTCTTAATAATATAAGCAACAGTAAAACTAGCGAATCAGTCACCATACCTTTATGGTATCTGACAGAAAAATGAGCCAGGAAAACCTGTCATCTGATGTCTATACAGTAAACTATGGATAGCTAGGCAGAAGTTATTAGCTACCAGCCGGTCAGATACCCAAACAAATTTTTCACATCCTAGCACTTTGACAAACCAGTAGATGTAAATAGCCACCCCAAAAATATACAGAAATCTGTCCACAATGTCAGTGTTTGCTGCTCTGTTAGGAATTACATTAAAGATTTATTTCTAGACATCTCAAAATTTTGAGGTAAAAAGATTCAATGTAAATTTTAAACAGACTAGTGGAACAGTTATTTACACTAAGCTAGCTACTAATGGTAAGCAGTGTTTTGAGCAACACCAGATTATTTTTCCTGAGTTTCAGGTTTAACTATTGAGATCTCAAGTGTTCTGAATTGCAGAGCCTTCTACAAGAATATCAATACCAACACAGCCACCTGTTAAACAGATACCACTTGTATAACAAGAACTGTAACAGTGGACTGTTAACAGCAAGACAAATGGGCCATGTTTCAGGTCTGTTTTACTAATTTCCCATCCTGGCATTTGTTAGGGTCATTGCTTACATTTCTAATTCACTGACACTGTCTGTCTGATGCACAGTACAAAAGATTAGGAAGAACAGAGAGTCACCCTTCCCAAATGACTGAGCACCTACCCAGCAACGACTTTTTGGGTGTCTTGCCATTAATGACAGGCATACCAGTTGAGTAGTTATGTTAACAAGTCATTAGTCCTAGTTACCTGTACTGCACATGGCCCAATAATTGCCTTAACCACTCTTAAGTAGTGCGTATTCTGCTTACAGAGTTGCTCTGTGCACAGTAGTAGCTAAAAATCTAACTTGTGTTTAGATACTTCACTAACAAGATCAAGTTAAGCTTCTCTCCCCCTTTCCACTATCCCATCCTGTTAGGTATGATCACAAGAAGGTTAACCCACTCACCTCTTGCTTGGACAGTTTCCAGTCATCGTTAAGATCCATCTCTTGGAATGACTCATGAGACCTTGGTCCATTCCTAATTTCCAGAAGGTCAATGTTGAAAATCAGCGTGCTCTCAGGTGGAATTTTTCCTGCGCAAAATGGTAAACATGGAGAAAAGTTAAAAACAACTACATATTCAGGGCCATACAAAAGCTATGTGTGTCAGAGCAATGTTCCAGTAATCCTGACTACTTTCAAAGCATCCTGCAATTTGAACTAACAAGGGTAAGTATCTGTAACAGTGATAACTGTAACTACTTCAGACTGTAGCCTGGACCCTTAACAGCCCTTTCAGCACATATGCAACTTTAGACGCAGTGAGTTCTGTGGGAGACTAGTATGTGTTGAGGCAAGCTCATTCAGCAATCATCATCACAGGTCCATCAGATGACGTTCTTAGATCTTTTTTTCATGGACAGAGCCAGATAAAGTGGAAAATAGTGAAGGAGACTGTACAGCTAGCCAGGTGGCCACTACCACAACATACAGCCAAGACTGATGGACAGAGTAGCAAGAAAGGACAGTTCAGTTCTCCTGATACACCATAATCCCACCAGTCTCCAAATTCCTCTCCACTGACAGCTGGTACCTGTACCTGCTATTCTGCCACTGGAAAAACTCTTCTTGAAGACAGAAGGGCAGCAATGCTGTCAGTATCCCATAGTTGTCTCTGGACTGCCACACAAAGCACTGAGCTATTTCCAAACACACAGCAGAAACTAAGTATATAAACCTGCTCAGAAGACGTGTGTTGGCATCATGCCATTTTTGATGCAGGTGAACTGAAGACTGATAATTTCCTAATAGTGCCAAAGACCACCACCCCCTGTGCCATCACCCCTCAAGGATTTCAGTTTATCAGGCATTGGCTATTACAGTGATGCGATATGCCTTCATGCTGATGGCTGAAGCTACCGTCAAAGACCTTTTAGCACACCACTTTGCTCCTTATGTATAAAGAGGCTGAACAGGACCAAATAGATATTGGATGGTAGCACCCCAAATAAGTATTCCTGTGCCTTGAGAAGACAGGGGAAAAAAATAATCCATGTCTACTATTTTGGAGCTATGGTGTTGAATACACCCTGAGCTCCAGCAACAAACAGGCTTTAGATTTCTAGGGTGAATAAACATACAGAAACTTCTGGAAACACAGGATACTTTGACCTACTTAGAGTTTGGAACACAGGTAATTTTTCTTAATGTTACAGAAAAAGGCATCTGACTCATCATTCAAGTCAGATGGCAAGCAAAGTGGAAGGCTAGTGAAATTAAGTGCATTCAGAGGAAAGTATGAAGAAAATTGAATAATTCTGTCTTCAGGGGCATCATTTGAAAACAGCAACATAATTATGTTCAAATACTTCCAAGTTTTCCTAAAACAAGTCATCATTTCTTAACAGCAGTTTACAGTGTTTACTTGTCCAACTTTCTTGCACTAAACACAGAGGTGAGGCTTGCAAGTCTTTGAAGAACAACTGCAGTGCTTTACATATTAATCAAGGCAATTAGGCCTGTGATGACTACATGAGCACTGCCGCGTGTAATATCTTTTTGTGGAAAAATTTACAGTTGTCCTGCATACAGTCAACTAACTGACCACCACAGGTTTCCTGTTCTCTGCTAGAAACAGGATTATTTCTAATACAATCTCTTGAACACCAAACCAAGGCTTCTAGAAAAGTATGTTTTAAGAGGATACTTTCATGAAAGGAGAGTATGGAGTATGCGGTATGTGTGGCGTACTACTTAGCATGAAGTAACGTGAGTGCTACTTGGCCTGTGTTCATCCCTACTTGCCAGAAGATACAGATGTGCAAACACCCCTCATGCCTAAAGCAGTCTCAGATCAACAGGAGAGGACAGTAGCAGCAAGGATTATATGTTCCAAGACATACATCCTTTCTGCTTTGAAACCTTGCATTACCTCAGGTCATTTGTGATAACTGTTGTCACGACAAAATATTCCTAATAATTGCTCAGAGAAGTTAACTGAGGGGACCACTGCCCAAAGTGAAAATAGCTGGAAGAGGGAAAGAATTAAGTGTCCCTATATGGAGAAATAAAGTGACTTTTCACTGTATCAGCTGATTAGGCACCACTACAGGTATTTTCTTAGAGTTCTAAAAGAAACCTGCAAGCAAGAATGAGGCTTGCACATGCACACTCATGAAGTATTACAACAAACACAGATGCAACAGCCAAAAAGCCAACTGTTACCTAAGCAACCACTTCCAGCTTGACTGTAAAAAGGAAAAAAAGGCAAGAAAAAAAAAAAGCAGGGCACAATACTAACAGAAAAGACACTCAGAACATACAGCACAGCAGCTAGCATCAAAGCCTGGTTTTTTTTCCCTGCATTCACCATGTAACCACTTAATGGTTATTTCTGCAGAAAACAAGTTTGTGAGAGAGCACCTGACTCCATCAATTTTTCTTATTTAATTTAAATCAGCCTCTTATGCCAAGAATAACAGTAAAAGACAGATTAAAAACAATTAAAGTAAGGGAAGAACTTCAGCTGTTTTACCTTTCCCTTCTTTTCCATAAGCAAGGGCTGGAGGAATAGTTAGCTTCCGCTTCTCTCCCACACACATGTCCTTCAAACCTCTGTCCCAGCCTTTGATAGCTTCCCTTATGCCAAGTGTAAACCACATAGGCTGACCATTGTTATGCTTGTGACTGGAAATGAACCAAATAAAACAGTCTTTAGAGAGTGAGTTCCACAAAAGGCCCAGATGATGTATCTATCTTGGGAGCATATTCCACAACTCTATTTGGCACAATGGCATTTCTTAAATGAAAGACCTAGACTTCTAAAGTCTTTAAAACTTACACCTTGCATGGAAAGGTTCCTTAATAAGTGGAAAGAAATAAAACAACATCTACATGGTGTGTTTATGACAACACTGAGCAACCTGGATGCCCACCTTCACTTCCCTGATCACCTATTTCCACTTTGAAACTGATCAGACTAGGAATGCATTTCTACTTAAAAATCTACATTCAAAGCAATGCATATTCTTTGGTAAATTGCAATTCAAAAACCAGCTTGGTCATGATTACAATATACCTTGTAACATGTTTACAATATACCTTGTAACATGTTTAGAAAAAACAGCCACATCTTTTCCAAAAGAGCCATTAGGAAAAAAAAAAAAAACAACTAACCCACAACTACACAACAAGTAGTCTAGAAAAACAGAAACAAATGCAAAACTAAGTTAAAAAAAGGCAGACAAGCCCCTTTTCCAATTTAACCAGGTGGTATACCAGGACTACTTTAACTCTACTGACAGATACAGAATTTTAAAAGCTCTATTTACGAGTCATGCAGGAAAGGTGCTTAAGAAGAAAACAGAACACTTACAGAAGTTAGTCAGCAGCAAAAACTTAAAAGAGTGTCACTAGAACTCCTTTTAGAGAGGCAGGTTAACTACAAGAGAAAATTAGTAAGATTTTTGTTTCAATTGTCTGCAAGAGAATAAACATGCAAAACATTATTTTCTTAAAAAAAATGTTCCACAAAAGTAGACTTCAGACAGCCTACAGATACTTGAGCATTTTGCTGTCTCCACTATTAACACTTCATTCATGTTTTACAGGAAAGACATTAGCAAGTCGTTGCAGGCTCTTAGCAGACTCCCTCGAATTTCTGGCTCTTCCTCCTACTTGCATTGCTGTGGCCCTGCTATGTTGATTCGTCTGGTTTGGGCAGGTGAAGGATATGCCGTTCCAGTAATGAAAAGCTGTCATTGTGCTGCCAGTTGTGGAAGGATATACATAATTTATTTTTTTTAAGGTAGAGGCAGACTTCTCCCCTAGCAGTTAGAAGCCAGGCAGAAATCCGTGCATAGCAGAAGACTTTAATTAAAGCGCTGAGATCATATACCAAAACCTGTGTCTTAATTGCAGAAGAGGACGCATAACACCCCCATATTTTAACAAATGACACATGGATCTACTTTCTAGACTAACCAGAAAACAAAAGCTAAATAAGATTTATTTTATATCCTCGATCTGGGAAAGGAGATCAGCTGTACTGTTGTACAGTGCTTCCTCTACTGTCGAAGTATAAAGGCAAACCAAACTTTCTGAAAACAGGTTGCGGTGGAAACGGTTCCACTGACAAGCCTGTGCAGCGCTATTTAAGCTATTTTAATTCACTAACAAATAACATGTAGGGCACGCTATGAACATGCATGCATTGCTGTTGTTCCTTGCACACAGGGAAACCCAAGTGCTGGGCGTTCTGGGAGGGAGGGGCAATTCTAAAAATCAATTTAAAAAAACCACCCGCCCTCAACAACACAGTCCTGACAGAGCTCGTTCGCAGATGGATTGCGGGCCACTATGAGGGGCCCAGATTCAGGACAGCACTGCCAGAAGAGATCACCCACGTTAACATTAATACAAAGAGACGCATATAGACATATATCCCCGCGCAGCTCACCCGCCAGCCCGCCCGAAGGCGAGCTACTTACGTGGAGTGAAACATGGAGCCATCCCTCTCCAAGTAGCCCTCGTAGTGAACCAGCATCATGTCCCCCCACTTAGTCTTCCTGTGGCAGATGAACGGCTTCTGCAGCACCTCCACCTTCACGTCCGCCGCGGGGATCAGCGCCGCGCCCGCGCAGCCCAG